GGGGGGGAGGGGGGGGGGGGGGACGGAAGGTGATGGATACAAAGGGGAGAAATGGTGAAGAAAGAGAGTTAAAGAAAATGCAAAAGAATAAGAATAAAATAAAATTAAAAAGACAAATAAAAAGGTAACCTGAAAAAAATTTAAAACAAAATAAATTTGACATGTGGCAGGCAAAGATTGGCGTGTGATTTGCACTTTTCTTTTGAAACTCGGGATGGCTTGAAAAGATTATACTTCTAACAAATGTACGGGGTCATAGGACGCCCGTAATTTTAAGGGGTGCAACCGAATACGTCTATAATTAGGTTTTCTCACTTTTGAAAAACTTACCATTTATTTGGGATTTCATTTGAAAAAAGTAGAATCCAAATGCCCTTTTAATCTTGATTCTTTAATATTTAATATATAAAGGATGATTAAAAAAATTAAACTCAATGGAAAACGACCTCTGCTTAGTATAAGATCTATTTGGTTGTCATCAAAACAATGTCTTGTAGTTCCATTAAAAGGTGCTTGATTAAATTCCTAATACATTGGTCCCCACTATAGCAATAATTGGTAATTTAATGCTTTTAGAGATACCCCTCCCTTGGATTATGGCTTTGGTGTTTTGCTATTACTTAGTTTTTTCATATATACTTCGAAGGGAATACCCTCATATTTTTAACATTGTGAGCAAATAATGGAAGAGTGCGGATTATTTTTAGATACATTAATTTTTCTCTAGGTCCACTTTAATTATAATGATAATATAGCATACTTGATTTCTCATAGTTATTATTATCCTAATTAATAATACTCCATATTACATTTTATTTGGATATGTTCCTATCTGAAAATGATGCCTGTGCAAATAAATGCCCTTGCAAGAGCTATCAGCAAAATTTTATAATCACGTTAACAAATTAGTCCAAATAATGGAAAGAAACATTTCTACTAACCAAATACAGTAATTAGAATAATTCAAAAATCTCAGACAAAGACATCTTATATGATTTCAAAAATTCAACCAATTTGAAACTTTTATTTAAAGACTAGGGCCTCCTTGTCTGATATTTTGGGTGTCCATCTCCAACTTTTAATTGATTATTTTGGTTTGATTAAGATGTTTGTACTAATAATATTTTCTTGTCTCTAGCTATATATCCTAGAGAATATAAGATTTTGACTTCTTCTTTTTTGTTCATGAATTAATTTCAGGCTGATAATTTGAGACAACAAACTCTTCATCAATTGCACAGAATATTGACAGTTAGACAAGCAGCAAGGTGTTTCTTGGTGATAGGGGAATATTATGGTCGATTACGAGCCTTAAGTTCCCTATGGGCATCACGTCCTAGAGAGTAAGTTCAAAAACATATTTTCAATTGTGTTTCTTCGACTTTTCAAAAATATTAATACACATGCAAATGTATTATTGTTATTTTTAAAGAGCCCAAACAATATAGATTACTATTATTATCTAACTTTATTAGTTAACATGAAAATGAGAAAGCAAAAAACTTTTTATGGTCTCTTTTGTTAACCATGCTTACATACAATTATATACAAAAATAGTAGCTAAAAAGGAAAAGAGAGAGAAAACAAGAAAGAACCAATAATAAATGGTTACCCTTATACTATATACTAAAAGTCTTATAATTTGAAATTATGGGACAAGATTATTTTAAAACATACTCCTTCCTTCTGTTTCATATATATTATTCCTTCCGTTTCATTTTATGTGAATATATTTTCTTTTTATTCTGTGTCAAGCTTTTCCCATTTGGAAACAATTTATCTTTATGCAATGATTTATAATCACACAAAATATATGTGCCTCATTTTACACCACAAGTTCAAAATTCTTTTCTTTTTTTTTAAAACTTTATGCCCAGTCAAATAGGTTCACATGAATTGAAACGGACAGAGTATATAATTCTATGTTTGATTGGGCACACGGTTCAAAAAAGAAAATTACATTCCGTACTTACCAAAAGTACTTTTAGAATTTAAAGTATGATTTCATGACCATTTTTTTTAACTATAGGACGATGATGGTAGATGATAACTCATGTCAAACAACAACAGAGTTACAGATGATACAAGCGTCCCAACACCATTTCTCAAATATGTGATCACATCATTCTTAGCCCGAGAGAATGTTCATTCCTCCTTTAATTTGATGATTCCCAATGATGTGGATTGAAAGAAAGTTGAGAACGGGCACAGATTTGTTGATGATAATCAAGTTGTCGCATTATGGTTCTGCGAGCTACGTATTTAGATTTTAGATGAGATAAGATAGGATTTGTTTTTCTTTTTTATTTATTTGATGTAGTTTCTTGATATCTCTATATTATTACTCTTGATCTTGTAAATGTACAAATCAATTTTATTGTGCACAAGGAGGCTTATCACTAGGGTAATGAAATAATATTGAAAATAGCAAAAAAGAATGTTAAATATATGAAGATTATTTATCTTTGAGCACTTTCTTCTTTGGGAAAGAAAGAAAGAAAGGAGACAAGGGGTGTGGGTTGTTTTTCGCGGTGGGTTGATAGAAGATTGAGGACAAAAATTGGTATGATTAATTGTTGTTTAGTTCATAATGTGTGAAGTGGTTGAGAAGATTATTTTAAAACAGAAAGGACATGGGTTTCCATTGTCTTTTTGCAAATGAAAAATACAATTGGCTTTGCTTTTGGTGTGCATGAAGAGGTTTATCATTGTCCATATTTTAATGGAGAGGCTGCCAACTTAATTGGCTCTTCAATAAATATACTACTATTATATACTTATTCTGTCTCTTTTAATTGTTATGTTTCTTTTTCCTAGAGTCAATTTAATTAACCTACAAAATTAAAAAAATATATATATATTCAAAAATTACATGAAAAATATTACAAGCTGCAATTTTTTACATTTTTTTCTGGATTCTTTCTTTTAACAATTCTTCTTATGTTAATATAAGAAAATTATATTTTAAAATAATAAATAAAAATTATATAATTTAGATTTCAAAAAACAAAAAACTACAAATAATTAGGATATAGAGGTGTACGTATAAGTGTGCGGTAGCAGCCTGGACGTGTCGGGGATGCATATACAACAACATACCCACTATATTTTCACACGTGGAGTCCGGGGATAATAGGGTCGGGGATGCACATGCATGGCTTAAAACCTAATTCATGCACTCACATGCCCATAAGTTCGTTATGGACTTTCTTTTATGGGTAAAGTTGCACAACAATTTCCATTAAGTCTAACGTTAATGAGATGGAGCAACCTGGGTGGTTTAATAGAGTCGAGAAACTCGAGATACTGTGAAATATTAAAAATAAGAAAGAAAATTTCCTATAATAAAAAATAAAAAATAAAATGGCGAGCAAACATTTACCAAAATATTATTGAAATAAGTCCCTTCGACAGAGATAACAAATACTAAAAAAAAAATAAGAGGTCATATTTTTAGAAGGGGAAATAACAAGAAATACGGCTGATCTCACTTCAATTATTATACCTCCCTGCACATCCACACCCCCTGTACAGGACCCATTCCCCTCAACACTACGAAAACCGCCAAACCCACCGGACCCTACGGTATCACCAATGAAAGTCGAAACAACTTCGAAGAAGAATTCCTTCAAAGAAATTCTAGCGGATAATCATTTGACTCTACCACCCAAATTACCACCAAGAGGAGGCAACGTTGAAGATGCCATTGCAAGAGGACATTATTGAGGAAATCTTCCTAACCCAGGATCAAAAAATGAGAATCTATCACCCTGGAGATTCTCGGTGATTATTAAGGTTTTTGGGAAGAAAATTTCGCACCACGTACTCAAGCTCATAGTGAAATTCTTTGGGCTATTATAGATTTGGGCTAGGACTACTTCATAGTGAAATTCTTTGAAGAAGAGAATACGGAAAAAATACTGCACGGAGGCCCATGGTTCGTTATGGGTCATTTCCTCTCTATCAGGAACTGAGAACCAAACTTTGTTCCAGCGAACTCCAAAATCCAAGCAACTGCCATATGGATCCGGCTGCCCCAACTACCCACCGAGTTCTATGACAAAGAAATTCTAGAACGAGTGGGGGGAACATGGAAAAATTGTTAATAATTGATACTTGCACTTTTGCCGCCCTCAGAGGTAGATATGCAAGGATCTGCACCAAGTACCCATTGATATACTACTTAGGACATCCGTGGTAATCGGGACCATAGGTAACAAACCGAGTATGAAGGTGAAGGAATCATGTGGAAAGGGTGTGGGAGAATTGGGCTTCTAACCAAGAAATGCCTGATACAACCAACATTGAGAGCAATGGAGAAACCGAAAACATCAACGGCGACGCTCAAAGCAAATGGGGGTAATGACTGGATAACAGTAAAATTCCCAAGGCGGGCTAAGAGGAAGGCAAGGGTAACACAACCCCTAAGGCAAAATCACACGGGAGCACTGGCCAGCAGAACGAAAAGCGGAACATTTTCGCCGGAAATAGGTAAGTTTTCCATCCTAGGGAACTATAGGGAAGGGGATACTAGGGCTGAAACCCTAACGAGTGAACTGATTTGGGTTCAAATGAGCCTACTAATTTGGGTTCAAATTGGGCTGATCAACAAAGTTTAAACTGACCTAAGAACTCCTTTGGTGGGTACCTGGATAGTATCCCACATATGAGGCACGTGACTAAGCCCAATCCCGAGAACAGCCACATGAAGCACACACACCAAATAACAACACACACCACTCTGAGCAGGTACGAGTACTAAGGGGGAAAACAGCTAATATGTGTAAGTTTGATATACCCGTCTCTAACCTAAAAATGATACCAACTACTCTCTCTAATAGTCAAATCGTGGGGGCCACAACTGAGGCCAAGTCCATAGACGATAGCCTTAGGTTTAGTGAAGGGAAAAGAGAGTCAATCTCTCTAAGTGAGTTACCTCTCACTTAAAGCCCTACCCCCACCCCTTCCACCATCTTCAACCCTCATCTGATGACTTGACAGTCCTCATCGCCTCCGAAATATTTATAACAATAGAAAATTTTAGCGCACAAAATCTAACTATGGAAAGGGATGCCTTAAAACGAAATAGTGGCATGCCTTCTACAGTTCAACATCCTTCTGACTCCATTCCCTATAATGGAGAACAACCCAAACAACATGCCGCCAAATACACAAAATCAGAACCTGGAGGGGGAACCCCTACCGTTACTAGTGATAACAACCCATTACCACCAGACCACTACCCTACCTCATGGATGGAAATGGCACTGCAGGGTTCAGCCTTCCCATTGACCTTCACAATAGGGTCGTTGCCCATCACTGTGTTAATACAGAACCCACACTATCTGGCCAATGTGGTCACTGAATGCCTCAATCATGCAATATTGAACTTTGGGCACCAACTGTAACTGGAAACACTGTTGCAAGCCCAAGTAATACTCAGCCAAAAAATAATGCAAACCAACCAACTGAATGCTTTAATGGATCAGATAAGATTGTAACGACCTGGCCGGTCATTTTGAGAGTATTAACCTCGATCCCCTATTTACTGCTTTCTTGATATCTTTTTCTGCTTATGTGACTTGCCGGGAGGTTTTGTTTTTGGTTTCGAAGTAATTTAGGACACTTAGTCTCTAAAATGGAAGCTTAAGTTTTAGGATTTTGACCGTAGTTGGAACTATATGAAGACGACTCCGGAACTAAGTTTTGTTGATTCCGTTAGCTCCGTTGGATGATTTTGGTCTTAGGAGAGTGCTCGTATATTGAATTGGAGGTCCGTAGGTCATTTTAGCGCTAATTGGTGAAAGTTGGAAAAATGATGATTTTTGAGAAGTTTGACCAGGAGTGGACTTTTTTATATCGGGGTCAGATTTTGATTCCGGAAGTTGAAATAGGTCCATAATGTCAATTATGACTTGTGTGCAAAATGTGAGGTCAATCAGACTTGATTTGATAGGTTTTGGTGTCGGATGTAGAAGTTTGAAACTTTGAAGTTCATTAGGCTTGAATCGATGTGCAATTCGTATTTTAACCATTGTTTGATGTGATTTAAAAGCTCGACTAAGTTCGTGTGATATTTTAGGACTTGTTCGTATATTTTGTTAGGTCTGAGGGGCCTCGGGTGAGTTTCGAATGCTTAACGGATCGAAATTGGACTTGTGTGAGTTGTTGGAGCTTTCAAGCTTTTGGTGTAATCGCACCTGCGGTGGGGTGACTGTAGGTACGGACTCGCATGTGGGGAAGGAGGAGCGTAGGAACGGTTTGGAGAGGCCTGTCTTGTAGGCACAGGTGCGAGACTAGGACCGCAGAAGTAGAGCCGCACCTGCCGAGAAGGGATCGCAGAAGCGAAAGGCGAGCTGAGTGGGGAGTTCGCAGAAGCAAACAAATGTCCGCAGGTGCGCACGCGCAGGTGTGGGCCCCTCATCGCAGAATCGGACCCTACCCTCTTAAGTCATTTTCGCACCTACGATGGAATTTCCACTGGTACGGCGTTGCAGGTGCGACTGGAAGCCTGCAGAAGCGAAATTGCTTGGCAGAAAAGGGCCAAGTTCGAGGGTTTTATCCCATTTTCAATTTTGGGACTTTGAGATCTCGAATTAAGGTGATAATTCAAGGGTTTTTCAGAGAGAAATTTGGGGTAATGATTCTTAACTCGTTTATGGTTATATTCCACTAAACTATAGTTGATTTCATCATCTAATTAAGGAATTTATTTGAGAAATTTTGGGGAAATGGGAGACATTCTTCAACTAAGTTTTTGAGTTTTGATTGGGATTTTGATATTGGCTTTGGATAATTTTGGTACGAGTGAACTCGTGAGTGAACGGGTATTCATATTTTGTGACGTTTACCCAATTTCGAGTCATGGGCCCGGGGAGGCTTTTTAGGGTGATTTTCGAATTTCTTGTTAAAGTCTTGATTTTATTAATTAGATTAGACTATTATAGTTATATTTATGATATATAATTGTGTTTGGCTAGATTTGGGGTATTCAAAGTCGGATAATCGAGGAAAGGGCATTCTTACGGATTGATTGAGCTTGGTTCGAGATAAGTGGCTTGCCTAATATTATGTGGGGGAAACCCCTTTAGGATTTTGTACTGTTGTGATATGTGAGCGCCGTGTACGTGAGGTGACGAGTTCGTACACGGGCCTTTTGCTGTAAAACCCGACTTTTACTGAGTAGCAACCTGTTTTCATCTTAATTGAGTTATACCAGCATATGTGGTTATCCTGTGTAGTCTAATATCGCATGTCTACGTGCTTTAACTGCTTATTTAAACTCTATGCAACCTGCCTAGTTGATTTCCTTTCCTTCCTTGATCTTTATCAGTTTAAATTGTAGAATTCTTATTTTTAACTGTTGTATTTATCGGTTGAGCTGTGTGTTTACTTTTGAGACTACGAGGCGGTAACTCGAAAGTTCTCCCTGCATATTTACTTTTTGGAATATGAGGAGGTACCTCGGGAGA